ATTATATATCAACAAACTTTAAGAATAAATTTTACAACAATAAGGTAATTTATTTTAAAAATAACTTATTTAATTAAGTTAACTAAAAACATAATAAAATTGTAACACTATCTGTATTAATTATATATTAAAGTAGTTACAATTAGATTAGTTTTAAATATATTTTAAAAATTTATATATAATATGATTACATTTATCTATTTAATATTAACTTATTATCAATAAATATTATCATTTTAATTAATTTCTATACATTTAAATTTATATTACTGAGTATTTATTTAAATATAATTAAGAAACAGTTTAAAGAATATTAAACTCTAAGAAAACGAAACTCTGATTGTAATTCCTTAAAATTTGTTTTTCATATGATAGATATAAACCATGCAAATAATTGTCAAGTCTTGCCGATTTTTTTATGTCTAACTGTTAAATTAAAAAAATAATAATAGATTTATTATAAAAATCAGTTTTACCGAAGTCTTTAGAATGTTCTGCTACAAACCTAAGCTCCCTGATCAGTGTGTTAAGCGGGGTTTTTTCGTCGTGAAGCATAAATGCCTCGAAATCAATAATCATCTATATATTAAAAAATTCGGTTGAAAATTTGCAATAATAGTAATTTTTTAAACACAGCAATTTAAAATAATATAACATTAAAGTTTTGTTGATTGTAACAAAAATTACAGCTCTAATTATACTTAAATTCAAAAGATATTGACAGGTTTTTACTACAGTAGTTATAGAATGAACCTGATAAAATTTATAAAACAAACTTTCAAAAATTGTTCGTGGAATAACATGGTTCATCAGACTTTTATATTTTATAAACTCATCATAATAGTTTAAAATTTTACCATCTTTATAAATTGATGTTAAACTTGTAGATTTTCGAAAGATTAATTTATATCTAAAGTATGTCTAAGATGAAAAATCAGTTTTCTTGAACTCTCTGGAATATCTTACTACAAACCTAAACTCCCAGAACAATGTGTTAAACAGATATTTTTATTGTAATGCATTGCAAATGCTTCAAAATCAATAAATACATTTTTTAGTTTTAATCCAATAACTTAACTACAAAATAATGGACAGAATGGATACATTAGAGCATCGATTATCCGACTCAATTGGGGACTGGGGTTGGTCGGATAATTGAAAAGTCGGATAATCGAAAAGTATGAAAAATTCCATTATTAGTGTAGTATATTATTATATCCCATGTAATCAGTATATTAGTATATCGCTATTAACCTACTTCGCGTTGAATTTTCCTCTATGTTAAGCTTATGAATTTTTTTTTTTAAATAATAATCCTCGCTATTGTATCGTTAAAAATGAGAAAAATTAAGCCTCGTTTAAATACTGGCTCCCTTTCATGGTCGATCCAGCATTGCCAGCTAAAACACGTAAAAATAATATTAAAGTAGCCAAGACATAGCCAAATATTGTAGCGCCAGATCACTAGCGGACATTTGAATTTGCCGACTAGAACGCGGTCGGTTAACCGAGGTGACGGTTAATCGGGGGTCGGATAATCGATGCTCTACTGTATAATTTGTTTTTTAGTTTTAGAAAATTTTTATTTTAGTTATTGTATTAATCATCGTATTTTTCACTAGCTTCACGTATTTTAAATACAATACTAAACAGTAAATTTGTTACTACATTATTAGGATAATTAATTATATCTAACAATTTGCAGTTTGTCCATAAATCTCTAGTCAAATTATTGATTTTAAATCAAAAAGTTTTCAAGTCCCACAAATGCTGGCATTTATTCGAGTCTATCGTTAAAATTTTTCATTATTAGTTTAATTGTTTGCTTACTAAAAATATTAATAATTATTTTAGCCTTGGTTTGGCCGCAGAGCCTTTATAAGTATGTTAATGAAAATCTTTTGCCATTATAAAAATTTAAAAATCCAGCGATCGAGCATCATATTCGAGGGCTAAACCTACATAATTACGTTTTATTTTTAGAAAAACATTTCATTGAAAAATTCACTTGTTTTAATCTAGAAGTAAACTGTATAGTGTTGTTCATAAATATTTACGATTTCTAGCTCAAAATAATCAACTTTATAAAATTTCATAAATTCACTCTATTATAGTAATGCAATATTAGAATTATTTATATGGCTTAAATATAATTTATGTGCATATAAATTTAAAATATCATAGCAACGGCTAATGTTTGACAAATATTATTGTTAGGAAAGGCTCATTCCTTAATGGATTTCACTTAGTATAAAATCGAAATCTATGACATTAGTATCATATTTGAAACATTTATAAAGCTTAATTTATCTTATGTGCATATGTATATCGTCTATCATAGCAACCAGTTATGTTCGATAAATGTTAGACATAGGTAAGGCTCTTTCGTAACTGGACTTTACTTATTTTAATTTAGGAATAATAACTCGGTTTAAATACAGAAATGTTTTATTTTGAAGAAAATAAGTTAAAGGATAAAGTTCCTGAATAAAGTATTAGACTAAAATCTATCAAAATATGTAGATATTTATTAATTTGATTTTAGTTGATTTGATTAAACAAGAGAAAAATGTATGAAATCTTGTAATTTCATAATATTCTTAAGTTACACTTTTTATGAAAGAGACTTTTGGAAATCGTCCGAACTAAACCCTTTCATCTCCTTTTCAAAACTATTTTATATTACAAACTTAAATCAGTTTCTATTCAACATGGATTCTGAAGATATCCACTACACATTTGGACATTATTTTTGCATTACTTTAAATTTGGCAAGGTATTTTGGAATAAATGTCATCAAAAATAATAACGGGCAGAGTACGCTGAATTATATATCAGTTTTTCGATATATCTTATATACTTTACTTATATCATTTCTTTTTCAAGTTATATATGTGATGATGGAAGATTCAGGTAATAATATGAATTACTGCTTTTCGATTTTACCTGATAATTCCCCGAAAGTAATTTATATGATTGTATTTATTTCAATCGTTATGATATTGTACGTATTTTACTTTGCTCAATCTGATAAAGTTTATTATTTTTTAAAAGATTTTGTTGTGATTTCTAAACCAGTTATTCACCATTTAAAACACTTAATGAGTGATAACCAGAAAAAGAACAAAACTGCTTTCTGTTATAGTGTACTCTGTTTCATAATTTGTTATTTCATATTATTTAATTCATTTGGATACTTGCGATATCAGAAAAACAAAGGAAAATGGAATTTTTCAGATACAGTTTGTATTGTATATATGATGACCATTATCTGGTATTGTTTGGGAATCACTATAATTACCTCGTACGGTGGATATTTAGTAGTAAAAGAATTTATAAATATTCTGCGAGCTTTTATAAAACATGTAGATAAATTGCAAAACCTCGGAGATATAAACACACATTTCTATTTGTTTACGCATATATTTGAACTTTTGGAATCACTCGATGCAACAGCTGGTTTCGTTATTTTGTTAATATTTGTGATTGTCCTTGTTGAAGACATGGTTATTTTGTACGTCATTTTATTTATAAATTTACCTTATTACTTTGTTATCATTTTATGTATTATTGGTGTATTCTTGTTTTTAACGTTGATTACATTCATTTCATTTCTTGTTCCAGTATCAATAGAGGTAAGAATATAAATATATAACTATTATATATTTTAAGAATTAATTAAAATAAAATGTAATTTATGTAGATGTCAAATATATGGAATTATACCAACTGTTTTTACTTTAACACTTCGAACACTTCGGACGAGTTAAAGGTAAGAGATGATCAACAAGCTGAATAGATTTAACGTATAATACTTACTCTATTATAATTTTTTACAGGTATTTAATATGTTCCAAATTCAGATGAACAGGAATTGCAGCATAACTTGTAAGAAATTTTTCGTCTTGAATAAAGTTTTTATTGCAAAAGTAAGTACGTCATATAAAATTATTTCAACTTCTATCGATTATATTATATAAGTATAAAACAATTCACTTGATATTAAAAGTATTGTTTGGTGATAATTTTTCGTAAAGATATACATATTTATTATGTATTTACCTATTATTTACGTAAAGTTGTTATTAGTGAAATGCTATAGATGCTTACGTAAGTTATTCATTATTGTTTTGCAATTTGAAAAAAAATGTAGACCTATAAATTTTCACTATCGTTCGTCTTTCTGTCGGTCCCACTGCTGTCTGTCTTTTCTTAATATCAAAAAATTACTTAGATAAATGAACGTCGATTTTAGCTTTGTTCAGAAAGTCCCGATTAACTATATAAAAACTTTCGGTTTAACCCGTAAATTTTTATATAGTTATTCCAATTCACAACTGAAAGGAGTTAGCTAGATGACCAGCACAACTCGATTGCTAACGGAAAATTATGATGTTCAGGAGCAAGCCACTACTAATTTGAAATGAAAAGCTTATATTTCAAATTAAAAAGTTATTAAAAACTAGCAGGTGGGCCCGGCGTTGCTCGGGCAAAAGTAACGATAACTAAGATAAAGATTATTACGTTACAGTCAATCTTACTCGTTTTCACAGAATGCAAGAATTGGGTCCCCTTAGAGAATTTTTAGATGGGTCTAAAAATATGTTCGATTTCCCGCAAAAACGAAAAAACTGCATCTGCGTATCGCACGTCGCTTTCTCTTAACAATTCCATTGTTACGTAAGATTTCCATTGTTGACNCCTATATAGGAATTACCTTAACATAAAATAATATGTCGATGGATTCATCTAACACACATTGACATGAATACAATATTGATAATTTACAAATTTAAGCAAATTGTAAATAAAATATTGAGAACCAGCGATTATTTGTTGCGACATCGTCACAATGCCGTGCTGCAAATTTTTATCAAATTTTAAATTTATTTAATTTAAAATATATGCCCTCCACCTCAAATTAGTAATGTATTAGCTTTATATATCATAATTGTGAGATACAACACGCGGGTCAGTCGTGAGACTTGAACCTTGTGCGGCACCCGGATTGGTAAGAATCCGGCCAGAGCAGTCTGACTCTTTTTACTATATAAGGCAACAAATGTAAAGTTCTTAGACCTCACCATTGAGGTGTTGGTAGACTACTCTTCTTACCCCATAATTTTTTTTGTTTGACGGTCTCCCATCATTAATAATGGAATGTTTTGACTAAGGTTGTAACAGAAGTCCAAACATCGTAATGACTGTTGACTTAGAAGGATATTTGATCAATTTTTATCTATTGGATCAGTGGTCACTGACAATGCCATATGGGAGAGAAAGGAAGAGGATTTTTCTCACTTCTGCATTAACTGCGTATTATTTTAACTAATTAATCTAATTACTAAATTGACCCCTCCATACTCTCACATAATTTTCCGTTAGCAATAGAGCAATAAAGTCGTGCTGGTCATCTATCTAATTCTTTTCAGGGGAAAACATTTCAATTAAAATAATATGACTTTTGTTGCAAGTCTGACATTCCTCTATAGTTATTTTACGCCTACTGTCAAAAGTTTTTTAATATCTTGTCTCGCCGTTCATCTACTTAACTCTGTTCTCGAGATTAAGGAAAGACAGACGGGAGGACGGGCAAACAAACGACAGTTAGAATTCAGTTTTTCAAATTGTAGCCCAATCATCATAACGACATTCTGATTAACCACCAAATTAATAGCCACATTGTTTTCAACATATTCAATATTATCACTTATAATAATAATACAAATAAGCTATTGCAAAAAAATCTTATCACGTGCAATATTTTATTTAAATTTGCTCTAGTCTAAACTTAAATTATGTTTAGTAGCAATACTCTAATTTCGCGATGGTTAACGGGATTTCAATGTACGAAATATGAATAATTTTCTTAAAAATAGGAATGTCTAAACATTTTCCATACATTTGATAAATCGTTTTTATCGTTTATTGTATTAATTCTTTAAATCTGAAATGTTTTTATATGGAGAAGAGAAGCAGCCATTTCAAATTTTCATTTACTAATTATTTAATTAGTGTATGTCTAAAAGCATTAATTAGTATACATTATCATACTTAATTTATTAAACTTACTTTAATAATGAAGCTCTTATTTAAAATAAAAAACTCATTACAACTTATTCCGTCTTTGGTACTCTTCTGTGATTGAAGCATATTCAATATCTACATTAAGTTATTAAATTTCAAAATTATTTTAAAATTTAAATTTGATTCATTAGTTTTGATTACAAAATTATGTCTTCACCTTTAATTCAGAATCAATGTCGTTAGTTTCGAAATACAGGGCTAACAGCAAATTCCATATCTTCGATAACTAAACACAATACGAAATAAATCAATAAGACATTATACGGTATAAATGTATTGAGATTGACTTTAAAAAATTAATACTTACTTCAACTGATAAAGGTACAAAGATTGAAAAAAAGATAATTAATGCAAGAAAAAGTAGAAAAAAAGCGGTACAACAAATGTAAGAAAAATAAGTTGGTAAGTTCTTAAATACAATCAAGTATAAGACGATAACAGCTTCAGTTGAAATCGCCATTTGTAATTCCATTATAATAACACCTGCCATATTATCAACAATTTTAAATAAATTATAAAACATTATTGACTTTCGTTGGATAATAAAAATTTCTATATAAGTTTTTATGATTCTTTCATTTATTTCAGTTATTATCAAATGTTCAGTTTGCATGAGAGCGTGAATTATTGTGTATCCAAAATATACAAGTATCACTACCGTGCCTACACTATATCCAGCAATAACAGCGAAATAGCAAGAGCAGAATGTATCGAACACTTCCCACTTCTGTTTATTTCTATATCTTAAATATATATACACGTTTACTACAATTAAATAATAACTAATAAATATTAATAAACAGTAGTAAATTGCAGTTTTCTGATATTTACGGCAATTTCTTTTTAAGTTAGGTGATGAACGAGCAAACCATTTTAAAATACTTAAAATCTTCGTGAAATTTCGAATAAAATGTGTGGAATTAATAGTATATATGAGAACAAATACACTAAAAATCAAGCAAAAAACGACTAATTGCACGACTTTTGATATATTTTCAGGAAATAAAATAATGCAATAATTGACTTGGTTTTCTGATTTATCCATTATTCCTAATATCACTTGATATAGGAACGATGATAATATCGTATATATTATAAATCTATATACCTTATAAATTTGTTTTGAATGCACTTGTACAATGTGAATACCGAAAAGTTGAGCCGTGCAGAAAATTCTATAAGAATAAAGGCCGAAAATGCTTACTAATAATTCTTTATTCATGTCTCCGTTGTACATTTCCTACCAGTCCCTTGCTTGTCTTGCATGTTAATGTAACCTGCTTTAATAATAAGATATTCATAGTTATGTTTATCGATTTGGAAAAAGTAGATTTATTCTGAAATTCGCTAGATATTTTATAGACATGCTTTTAAAATTCTTAGTGCTTTGTTATTTTATGATGATGGAATATGTAATATGTTTGACGATGGAAGTAGTTAATTCTTCAAGGTAAAATAATTTAATGACGTAGATATTGCGATTAAATTTTATCCTAAACAAAAATGTATATAGAGGAAAATTAAAATTTATTTAAATAAATTAATGTATAATGATTTGAGGATGACTCTATTAGATAAAATATATCTCTTATGCGCGTTTTGATCGTGAATAGTTTAAATCTTTGATGACTATAAATATTATTAATCCAGGAGTGGTTTTGCCGCAGGGAATATTATGGTAAATATTTAAATTATAGCGTTGTAAAATTACACAAATATACAATCAAAGATAAGACTTTTAACTATCATATTCAATCACGGAGTTAGAAAAAAGTGTATTGGGTACAGCAGAATTCTTTTTTCTAGAATTTATTCTTTTAAAGTTCAAACACCTTTAAAATTCAGGCCTTTAAATTTTGCGAAGCATTTTTCTTTCTGCATACTCTGTAATAGTTTATGCATCCGCTACTCGTTTAGAGTACCTATTAATATTGTAATCAATATTGTTTAGAAAGTAATTTAGATAAATGGTGTTTTCCTTTTAAGTGCTCCGTGCAATAAAGCTTATTTTATATAATTATATAATGCCAACTTTTCAGAGTAAAATTTTAAGAGTATTGAATAAATTTCTTGAAAAACTTCTGAATTTAAACTTAGATATTGCAGGTTATTTTAAGAAAAAATAATAATTAACTGATTATGTACAGGAATTTTCCTAAAAGAATATAGTCTATTATTAACTAGCTCGCTAATTACTGCAATAAGTACTTTATAAACCCGGGCCTTGTCCGGATAATAAATCTCGTTTTTGAAATTTTCAGGGGTTATCAATTACCGTTACGTCAGATAAATTTCAAAAATAAATATGGTAAAACAAATTTTAAGAACAATATCAGAATGCTTATTAAACAGATAAAAAGTTGCCAGTTTATAAAAAAATTATTAGAAATTAAATTGGTTTATTTGGTAACTGCAACGTGACACGTGGACGATCTTCCGAAAGGGATGCTTTTTGGCAAGACTATTATAGGAAAATGACTTCATTTAGGTTTTAGGAAGGTGAAGAAAACGCGGAAAACTGCACGTGGCCGGCTCGCTGCCATCCGCAAACCTGCGACCGACTGCCGGAGATTAGTGATTTTTTTTAAAGCATTGATTGTGAAAATTCAACAGCATCACAATGGCGTCACTACCAAAATTATCTTTAAAAAATTTATCATCCTCAATTTAATAAGATTTTATTGAGCTAAAATTTGAAAAAAATCGTAGACCAGAAAATCCCACTGTCAATCCTTCCTGAATCTCGAGATTGAAATTAGATATATGAATGTCGACACCAGATATTGAAACGCTAGAGACGGAAGGTCCCAGTTAACTGTATACGAACTTCCGATTGAAACCG